ACCCAGGTGGGATGTTCACGCCGTCATCCCTTCTCCATGCTCCTCTCGGGATCTTGGGCACGCACGCACACGCGCCCGGCGTGAGTTTTAAGCCACCGGGTCCGGGACACGAACCGCGGTCGACTACGTGGGAGTCCAGCGACATAGCCATTACGCTGACTGCTGGTTCCCTGTCCCACATGTTTTTTAAGCCACCAGTGCCAGGACTTGAACCCTGGCCGGCCATGTAGGATCCAGCTTTCCTCTGTGTAGTGCTTAATTGCTGGGCTTTCCCTCCCCTTCACTTTAAAGAAGGGTAAGAGTGAGGCCCCCAAGAGGAGCAGCGGGTGGCCGGAGAGCCCAGAGGATAGTCCAGGGTGGGTGAAAGCACCGAAGTTCTCAGCAGAGGAAGGCGACCCCCAAGGGACTTGGCCGAGTCTCGTAGCCAAGGCTGATCGGGACCCAGCAGCCAAGTTCGTCCTCAGAGGACGTGGATGTGGCCTCCTGCTCATGGCCAGGGCTCTCCTCTAGGCCCCACAGGACCCTTGGCTTGCTCTGTGCACCCATGGGAGTGCACTGGCGATCTGAGGGAACCCGCTCCTCTCCCACGGCCTCTCTCCCGCCTGGGCACCCCACGGCCCACACACGTCCCACTTCCCTGACCATGCAGCCCTCAGTACTGAGTCCTGGCCTTCCCCTGATGCAGACCCTGTTAAAAAGACAGAAGCCCAGCGGTGGGCGAGTACCCCACACTTGTCACCTCCTTCCATCCTGGGGAGGAGGAGCTGTCACTCCCGTCCCTTCTGCTAGAGAACGTGACCTTGGGTTAATTTTCTCGCCAATTCCCTGGGAAATCTGACCAAGGGAGGCTCTCAGCTGTCCCGGGCAGGGTGGCCGGGTACACCACTTGGTTCATCGCAGCCGGCCCGGGAGTGCTGCAAGGACCCGCAGGAACACTGCGCTTCGGGCTCTCCTGAAGGCAGGGGCCCTGTCACGGGCGTGAGCTTTGCAGGCACCCTGGAATCTAGGCCTGTGGATTTGCTACAAGTGACCCCGTGGGGCTTCGGTGGGGAGAGACTTTTAGGGCAGGGAACGCTCCCAGCCTGCCCCTTGGGAGGGCCAGAGGGGAGAGCTCCTGGTGGTGGGATGACAGCTTGAGGACTGTCCCCACTGCAGATGGTGTTTGCTGGCAGGCCGTGTCCTCCGAGCAGACCGCGTGTGGCCTCTGCTGGTCTCATGATACCCGTGTTTAGGAGCAGGTAAGAGATCCCCGTGGACGTTTCGTGGAACCCGGGGCTCAGAGAAGTGAAGCGACTCATTTTCCATCACCCAGTGGGCTGCACTCCTGGTCTCCGCCCTGCCCCCCGAGCCTGTCGGCCTTGGGGACCCACCTCAGGCCGCACAGGGTCCTCGATGCCCACCACGCAGATGCAGGTGAGGTCGTTGAGGATGTCGTTCTCGTTGTCCCAGTCGGGCTCGGGGCTGCCAGGGAAGTCCCTGTAGGCCACGCAGATGGTGCGTAGCCCATCGCAGGCCATGGGCTCAATCACCTTCTTCACCATCTCGTCCCGGTCGCGGGGCCTGAAGACGCGGGGCTCACCCGCCCCATTGAGGATCTTGCAGCACCTGGGGAAGGGTGGGAGAGAGATGTTTAAGGTCCGAGTCGGGGCCCCGGGGGGGCTCCCTCGGCCTGGCTCAGAGCTTGCTCCCTCCTTCCCTGTGATGCCCAGCTGACCCTGCTCGGCCACCCGGCACCCAGCTAACTCACCTCCCACAGTGCACTAGGGCTCGAGGCCGAGACCCGGGTGAACTCAGACAGCAGGAAGGCTGTCAGGGACTACCTGCCCCGGCCAGCCTGCAGGAGTAGCTCCACCGTGTTACCGACACACAAGGTGCGAGAAAGGCAGTCCTGCCATTACTGTAAAGTGCTTTACAAAACACGTAAAACGGCGTCTTGCAGTTCTCGGCCCTGCTGGTGAGTTAGAGTGGTGTGGAAG